TTTCAAATGTCAACTTTCGACGGCAACTGCGTTAAGCTGATGCCAGATAAAACTTTGTAGCTTTGCGTGACATTTATAACTTTGCCAGCAAAGCGCCAGACGCAAAAGGTATGCCACAATGAACGCCAAAAAATCAATTTTGCACTGCTTTTTTACTCGTCAAAATTGTTGTGGATTTTAGATATTTTGCTTTAAAATTATCAGCAATGTAATTGAGTTTTATGTTTCAGCATGATTACTCGAATTTGGACGAAACAAAATAAATATTAAACCAGCTGATTGTCAAAGCGCGCAAAAAGATGGGAGTTGGCCATCTTTTCGCTTCGCGCTGCAGCTTTTTTTTTTTTTCGTGGCTACGCTGCAGCTTTAATGATCTATGTGGCATGCTTTGTGAATTTTCATACAATTCATCTTAGCTGTCAAAGCGAATCTGTCACGTAAAGCGAAGCAAACGTTTTATGTGGCATCAGCTTTAACGCTTTCGTAACGGCGTTCTCTGTAACAGCTGTCATACGAACACACGTGTTCAATTTTATTTGACATTGACGGCGTGACCCATTTGCCGGCGAACGCATGTAGTGGTACACACGCACGCTTATATGGAAATATGAATCGGGATTCTAAACACATGCACACTTACTAGTATCAAAAGAAGTGTCGAAGTATTTCCTTACTAATTAATGTCTTGCTAGCTTAAAGTTTTTTAAATACAGACTTCATGGTTGTCTGTATTCATGAATGGATACAAAAAAAAAATCAACCATAATCATGTTATAACGAATTGGTCTTGCAGACACCTTGTAAGGGCTCTTGTATTCTATTGCCGATATGGCAGTGCCACGAACTGCCTTACCAAAAGAAATTTCAAATCAAAGTGAAATTTAATAAATAAACCGTGCATGTTCCCATTATTTTAATAATACATCAAACATATCCTGATTCTGTTATTAAACGGCATAAAATAATTATTCTGGAGGATAGGCAACTTGTAATTCCCTGCTACTGAAAGCTTTTACATTGGACAAAGATGCGACCACCACGAAAGCCTGGATCAAATTCTGCGCTTAAAAAATCTGCACATCAGCGCAGGCATCCAGCTGCTGATTTGGGCGAAACGGACACTAGTAGCTCAGCAGAAGATGGGCTAGCAACAGATGATCAAGGCTTCCGCTCACCAGCACCTGATACCGATGGTACTGACTATGGTTTGGAGTTTACGAATACCGGAAGCCGATATGTACATAATTCGTCAAAAGAACATCGTTCAGTTGCTCCAACTACAAATATGGACAAGCAAAATGAAAGCTGTGTTAATAAAGATAGTTCAGCAACTCTGGCTAGCCAAAACAGGTCTTCAGCTAAACAAGTCGGCGCCACAGCGGTCAAACCATTGGAGAAGGCGCAAAGGCCATTAGAGCAGGGTACGCTGGAACATGTACAAACAACGACTGCATCAACGAAAGCAGCAACACCGCACAAACGTAAAACCCAACGTAAAGGGAAATTTTTACACGCACAATTAATTGCACGGACGGATTTAATGATACCACGCGCAGCCTTTGGTCGTCTTGTGCGAGAAATACTGTTGAGCAATGATACGGATGTAAGATCTATAACATTAAAGGCTTTAGAGGCCCTGCACGTAGCCACTGAGGCCTACGTTGAAGGACGTTTTGAGGATGCAAATCTCTTGGCATTGCATGCACGTAGAGTTACCGTAATGGCAAAAGATATGGAGCTTATAAACTTTTTACGAAATAAATCATAGATTACCCAAGACACCATGCGCCAGGCGGGTCTCACATCTTAATTATTAGGATATTACAATTTATTGTTTTTACCATGTAGACATATTTACTTGTTCTAAGACATTTATCAATTTTATTTGTATTAATTTTATAAGTATAATGTTTACAATGCTTGTTTTCATGTTGATATGCATATGTATTAAAAAGTTTTTATATAGTGATTTTACTTTAATTTAAAATGTGAGAGCTACGAACGCTTGACGTAGGGAGAGTTGCACAAATTTTCGTAGATCGTGATGCTCCTTCATAAAAAGTAACAATGCCCCTTTAATTGCAGTTCGAATACACCCAGTTGTTGCTGATATGCTAGTGATTTTAAAACCTTCAATATGAGGGATGTGTTAGTAATACAAAAAAAGTTCCCCAGACTTTTGGGGAGTATTTCCGGAGTGCCAGTCCTTTGGCCCTATTATGTATTGCAACTGGTGTCTAGTTGTTGGTCTAGTAGCCGTGGCTACCAGTATCGTACATTGTATTATGTATAGCGATTAATCTCAGTATACAGAAATACGCACACAATATCCGAATTTACGAAATGTACATTTCGAAGTAATTGGCAACTTTGCTCCAATGCGTTTAAAAAATTCTGTAAACAAATAAAATCGTTATAAACGGGAAACAGCAAATTGCGCTACTAGACTCAGTAGCCAGTTGCCATACGTAATTCGAATTTTTGTATATGGTTGGCCATCGGCTATCAGTCGCCATAGAAAATAGGGCCATAGATCTGGGTTGTTGTTGTTGTAGCGGCTACAACAACCCCGCCCAGGACGGTTGGTATCTCAGTCGTTGTCGTCAAGTTCCACTAACGGCAGCCCTAGGAAGCGTGCAGCTTCTGTAGGGTTGGTCCACAGGGACAAGGCCGTTAGGGTTGTCGGGTTTTCCGGGTATCTGGGTAATTCCGGTTACCTAGACCGGATCGAGGAAGGCATTGCATAGAGCCTCTCCCTAAACTTTTTTTATTCATAAAAAGTTTTCATTAAAAGTACATAGCGAGCCTAATATGTAAATTAATTACTGGGGATAATTAATTGTTATGATCCTTTGAGACCTTTTATCTACACCAGCGAGCAGCCAATCGTTGCTCGTCCCTGGAACAACGCCTTACTGGTCGACCCAGAGAAGGTTCCATCAGAAATCCACTTCGGTTAGGTGCAACTCTTGCGGGGGGTGGATCCACCCAAGAATTGGTTATGGCTTAGGGTTACACAGAAATTGGGCCACAAGGGATGTGACCTTCTATTGCTTACGCCATACGGCGCCCCTTCTTCCATGGCTACAACCTCGTGAAATACGGTGGTGCAATAATCAAGTACCCCAGGAACCATCTTGGCGATTTTTGCAGAGTCCAACAAAGCGCGCAGCCATTTTTCTTGCCAATGGAAAATGGCAAGTGAAGCCGAGCCCTTCTCTCTGTTAGGCAGTTGTAATATTCTCTGTAAAGATTGCGAGCGAGACAATGGCGGAAGCCTAGTCTTTAAACTTAACCAAATAGAGTGCAGTCATTGAAGAAGCCATCGACTGCAGGGACACCTTCCTAGAATAAAGGAATGAGGGAGTAAAAACCATATAGTAGTAGGGGACTTCACCGCATAATGGTCTTTGACATTAAAATCTGTCCAACTATAGTGCCTTCGACTGATAAACCAGCCGCTTTAGCGTCCGCGATTCACCGCACCTATCTAAACTTCAAGAAGGCCTAGGGATGGCTGCGCGGAAGTTACTGAAAGCACCTTTGTCACCCTCTCGAACCAACAGAGGTGCATGCCAGAAACCTGCGCAATTTTCCGGCTGAAGCGTCTGGTAATTATGGTATATATGCGTGATCAATTTCTCCCGGTCAATCCCACGGATTTCCTAATTAGAGATCTTACTTTGGACATTCGGCAACTGGCAAGCCAGCATAAGCGGAAAAGGTTTGAAGAGCATCTGAAGACCTGCAACATCACCATTGGTGGGATCAAACTCTGCTCAACTGTAAGGTCCGTACCCAATTCCATGAAGCGGATTGCAGAGTGAAAATTTCATTTGGTGATCGCACCTCGTCGGATCAGAAGCGAAGCGCGAGCTACTTCAGCCGGCAATTCACACCCAGATCAGAAGGAGATGTATGTACACTGCCAAAAAAAACAGTGCGCCTCTTCAGCTACTGAAAAAGTTGGGTCTGCCGACAGTGGAATATCTGACCAAGATCTTCTACTTGTCGATGACAGGAAATCATACGGTGGACCGCGAATTATCAGCAATCCTCATTTCTTTGTTTCCAAGCTTCCCAGCTGCTAGATAAAGTTTTCCGTTCGACAATGACATTGATGACCTGTCCTGTTAAGTAAATATCTATTTCTCCGAACTACCTTGCTTCATCACCGCATGACCGGGGACTAGTATGAACACTATGGGGACTATACGAATTGAAAGACGAAGTCCACGGCCGACTTACTTATGTCCTAAATGTTATCGGAGCTTTGGGCGCCTACCCATAGATGCCGAGTAGAGGGATATTTTCCACAGAGCATCATCGTTCAAAAGTACTACATGTCAATGCCAGTATAGAGCTCATGTAGAGATCACGTTGATGATCGCGTTAGCGCGTTGGGGGGCAGGTGGACAGGTGCCGTGAATCATGTGGCGACTCTCCTCATACCGGGCACTCGTTGGAATATTTGCTCACAGGTACGAGTTTAGCCTACTTTAATATCCAAAGCGAAGTTGGGCTATTGTGGTGCGTGTCTCCGAGGCATACAAAACTCACTCCGTTCCACGTTGTTGGGTAGTTGTGTACCAAAAACGGCATTCACAGGTCGGGAGTCGATTTAGGTTGAGACCGATTCCATGTGAATGCCATGTGCCAAAGGCGTTGGACAAGGTTAATCACGCGACTCTTTGCCTATACCTCCAGGACTCAAAAATACCGACTGACAACAGATCGAAAATTCTGGGAGTGACGTTCGACCGCCTCTTTTTTTACTCAGCGCATGCCACATCCACTTGTAAAAAATTTCCAGCCGGGTACAAAGCACCTGGCGAGCCGAAAAGGAAACTCTGCCCACAATTCACAAAGCGATCGGCCGGTCGGTGGTAAACTACGCAGCGCCAGTGTTGTCGCCAGGAACGAGCGACACGCAGTGGAGAAACTTACAAACCTGCCAGAACGGAGCTCTACGTACAACCACAGGCTGCCACTTCATGTCGTCCGCGTATCACCTGGCAGAAATGCAGATGCTGACGGTGAAAGAATACAACATCATGCATGACTAGAGACCTCGCATCGAGCCGTACATAGACCATCCGTTCGAGGCAGCACGATACAGAGCAGCGCTCAACAATCTTCACAGCCAAGCAGTCAGGACGAGTCTCAGCACTCATAGACCTTTATAGTCCCAGGTGTTCGACCGCCTACCAACAATATCGAACAAGCAGAACCGACGAGAGAGACCAAATGCATCGGCGTGGTGTCACAGACTCAACAGCCACGTCTCGCCTCAATATTCAGAGCTGGCTAACACCTGCCCATGCACCTCCAACCCGACGACCTTGACACTCGGAGCCTGATGAACTGCGCCCATCGAAATCACCAGCTTTCTTGGCCTCAGGCTTGCAGAGTCGGAGGATGAGAATGACGCATAACCACACCCCGGGGTCTGAGCACTGCTGCTACAATAACAATGATTCGCTAACTGTAACAAAACTGAACCCGATAGCTAGTAAGTGGGGTTGCCGTGACTCGGTCCCTTCGCAATAATTTTCTTTTTAATTTGGATAACAGTGTAGCACATAGCGAAAAGCAAGCGTTGATAAGTGTAAATAAAAGCCGAAAACAAAAACATATAGGTAAAAATCGCCAACCAAAGTAAATTAATAAAAAGTGTGCTCACTACTTGTGTATGCACATGCATACATACTATGTGTGTCGTATGTATTTGGAAGAGCGCGCCAGCTAACAACCAGCGAACTAAGTGAGCAACAGTTGCCTCCGCGCCGCAATTGGATTTTAGAGAGTTTGTCCAAACTCGGAAATAGCGTCTCGCAATGAAGCAATCAGTTGCAATAACGCGTTCAAACGGCTAAGATCGGTTCGGAACGGTGAGTCTTGTTAGGCAGTGAAAGCGAATGCAGAAGGCATAAACTTCGTTCACATCTACATATGTATATACGAGTACATACGTACATATGTACATATTTAGTAGCCAACTAATGTTCTAAGCAGCCTAGTAGTGGCCCAAAGCAAAGAGAAAAAAAACACCAAAAAGTGCTCCAGTAATAACGATCAACACTCATAGTGCAAAACTATTGGACAAGAAAATCCAAACCAGAAAGAATAACATAATAATCGCAAAAATAAGTTAGTATATGCATGTACTATTTTTGTACTGGCGTATGACCGTTTATTTAGTTCTGTTTTTGTTTTTTTTTGTGGAATTCTTTCTGTTTTGGCTTAGTGCTAGCAGTAGGCCGCGAGACTTGACTTGACTTGGCTTGTGTTGTGGCAATCTGTGGCAGCTTCGCTCATTCTAACTTAGCATACAAACTAGTTAGTGCGTGTGTGTTTCCCTGAGCGTCCGGTTTGTTGTAATTTTATTCTTGTTTTAGCAAATGATCGGTTTACAGTAAAGTCTACGGACTTTGGTCAACTTAAAGGTTAACTAAAACCTAAACATACCGTTAGTTACGACTGAACACTGCCGCTATTCGGTTATTACTATACGCATCAAAACATACATACTTATAAGTACTATAAGTACACGTAATGCTTATTGTAATATAAAATACACTAAGTAGTAAATATTTTCTAAAGAGCGAAAGTTACGCGCTGCTATCAGTGAACCTGAATGTGAATAACTCAAAAAAAAATAAAAAAGTTCATATATATATTTAACTACTACATATATTGTGTCTAATATCCCACTCCTTTAGTCTTGTGTTATTATTTTCTAGTTAGCTCAGTCACTTGTGCATTAAGAAGGAAAATTTGTTAATAAGAAAGACAAAAAACGCAAAATCATAAAAAAATGGTGGAAACAGTAGTTACCGTTGAACGCAATACTACCACGCAAACAACAGCGCCCAGTGGTGGCGGTGGTCTCAGCGCATTGAAAATCAATATCGGTTACTTTACGACAGTGCCTGGCATATTGAAACTCGTTCAATTCGTAAGTAACTAATCCCTCATATAAAAATGTTTTACATATACATACTTATATAAGTACATATGTACATATGTATGCACATTAGACCGTACCAGCAAAAAGAAAAATTCAAATAAAATCGTCATGCACCCCTGAATCTAAAGTATTTTTGCAAGGCAATTTGAAAAAGAAATATATCGAGCCCTAACCGCCAAAGTAACGTAAGCGACATTTAAAAAAAATATTCTTTTTGATGCAGAGATATGCCTGCATTTCTGCATCGAAAAGAAAATGAAAAAAAAAAATGTCGCTTACGTTATTTTGGCCGTTAGGGCTCGATATACATGCATATACATAAATTTCTTGGCCGAACGCCTACTAGCCTCTTTAAATTTTTCATTTTATCTTCCTCATTTTCAATCATATCTTAAAATATGATATATCAATTTTTTTGTATCGAGCATAATTTTTTTATATTCCAAAGTTCACTAACCTTAAGTACCCCGTTCTAGTACTTACTCACCAGATCTTACTTCTAATCACTCTTACATACGTACCATCCTAATGTCAGTAGATTATAGCTATCATTGAACTTTTGCAACGAAAGTTTTTTCACCATTCCAGTAGAACTATTTAATTTTTTTTGCCAAATGTACATAGGTGTCCCCGAAAAATATAAAAAGCGACCCTAGGTTCGACAAAAAAAAAACTCCTTTGCTTGTAAGGTGGCACGGTCTAATGTACGTACATACGTATGTATGTCTGAAATTCCTTTGATTTCCAATATCTCGCCGCATTAACTAAGTTATTGTTTTTTATTTTATTGGTTCAAAAAGTCAAAACGTGGTGCGTTTACAACTTGGGCGCAGGTGTTTCCCTCTGAGTCAATTACATATGCAATTACATTTTTATGCATTTACACCTGTACATACGTACATATGTATACTACTACATAAATAAAAATTAGATCTAGCAGGATTTTATGATAAAGTGATTTTTTATTAAGTGAAATTAAGTAATTTAACAGTGCATTACAAAAGTGTTGTAATATGAGAGGGGATAGGTATAGAACGAGAATTTTCACGTAGACTCACAAGAAAATTATTTTAAATTCAAGGAAACAAAACTAGTTGCAGACAAGTTTCGTACAATCTGGGTTGAGGATACCTTTCGTTTTCAAGTGCCCAGGCAATTTTGAAAGTTTCACAGGAACAAAGACTGTTTCAGCGCTCCTTGGCTACTGGAGAGTTGTGATGTCTGACAAGCTGTTTAAAGGTGGTCATTGGGATACCTATAGTGTTCCTTCCCGTTCAAAGATCCGCGGCTTTCAATAGGGGACTTTGCATAGTCTACATATGTGTGAGTCTAAGGCCTTCAGTGCTGCCTGATTGTTAAAGATTTGTTTCCTCTTTGTAGATCATAGAGCGAGCCTCGGTTCTTCGTATCACAACTTTTTATTTTTTATTCCAAGACCCAGTGTCCCAATTCCTTTGTGCCCAGTTTAGGTATAATTAAAGTCCGTTTTAAGCAGCAGGGATACCAAAATATTATGCAGGTCCAGAAGAATTGCCTATGCTTCCATCTTCTACTTCAACAATGAAATCGATTTTTCTGAATTGGTTACCAATTTTGCAATACCCGTGTTTTTAGTAAGGGCTGCCAATTTTGAGAAAAACGAAGTAGTCACGCCCATTTTTTGTAAAGGTAATTTAAAAAATTAAGTCGGTTTTTTACCGGTTACCAATTTTGAAAAATCCGAATTTTTAGTACCGGTTACCGATTTCGTTAAAAGCGGAGCGGTCGCACCTTTTCTTTTTAATGCATTACTCACGTAACTCACCTTGATTATCGTGCAGAGTATTTCCCCTATGAGTCAAAATCAATTTTCAATTTCGGGTATATTAAAAAAAAAACAATGACGCATTTCATACCAGTTCTGGATACTCGATTATTCAGACAGCCGAGCACTTTTAATTCACTAATACATATCAGTGGGTACCCCAATTGTACTACATCTTTAACATACTTGCACGTATAGTAGAAATTTTGGATAACCCTAATATGCATATCATTTGCACACAATTTTATCTCAATGATCAAATCTCGAGCATGTGCCGTTCCTGCTTTATGACTAAGTGTCAAAACTGACACAATAAACACTTAATCTTTTACGAAATCAGTTTTCTACCGCACATACAAATACATACGTACATATGTACATACATACATACTTACGTATTTGTATATTTTTTTATAGATAGAATGCTATTCTATATTACAGCCTCATCAAATAGTAAATTATCGCAAATAAGTACTAACTACGTGCAACTAAATATTTGTAAGCGTGACACATAAACCTGCATTTTTTAATGACAGTTCAAAAAATTGGTATACATTTGTTTGAAAAGAATTTTAATTGGTTAAGATTCTTATCTCTGCTTTTTTTAATAAATTAAAAAAAAAAACTAAATGTTGTTGGAGGTATCAGAACTACTTGTTCGGAAAGATTTTTGTTTAAGGCGACAAACCCTTAGAAACGGAAATTACAATTTCAGGACTAAAGTTAACAAAACACAGATTTTATTGCGGATATAAGCAGGATATCCCTTTGTTAGCAACGTTTGTTCCCCAACTTTTTTTAATTGAAGAATTTTCCAGAAGTTAAAAAAATTAGATTTCATTTTAGATTTCGGCAGAATATCTACAGTGCAATCTATTTATAAGCATGAAAAGTACAAAATTTTGCATTTATACATGTACACCATGTACATCATTTCTTTATTATTTAAAAAATATTGTATTCTGATAATATGGACACCTCGGTTATAATGGACAATTTGACGCGGTCTTGTGGATTCCATTAAGTAAACTGCATCAAAAGTTCCCTACTACATACAGTTTTTTTTTTCTTCGTACCAAGTTGATCTAAATTTACTGGGCTAACAGTAAATCCACTAAATTTAAAATAGTTAATAGGTACTAACAATTTTCTTTACGTCGATTTCTACCGATTCCCTTGGAGTAATGTTTCGCTTCGAACGCAAAAATATTTTGGGTATATTTCTTTTAACTAAAATTTGAAAAACTGGACTTAGGTAAGGCTCATTAACACAAAAACATTTTCGAAATTGCGTTTGGGAAGTTTTTTTCCTCTACAGTTTGAAAAAGTGGAATAAAAAAATTTCTATCAAATTAAAAAGGCGATAGGAATTTAAAGTTAAAATCTTTTTGTGCTGCTTATTCCTTCAATGAATATCTAATGGAATATCTATTCACAAGTATGCCTCTATTAACCCTTTTAACATTTGAATACGAAAATATTTATACACATTTATGGTATATACCTATGTAAATATTTTCATTGTAAGTAAGCAGATTTGTTATACATTTGTAGTATGTATATTTATGAAAAATATTCCCTCCATTTAAAAATAAATTCAATTACTATACCTAGCCTTCAAATTTGTTAGAAATATATTTGATTTAAGCGATTTGTTTACCTAAGCACAGACCTACGTACATAATGGTGTGCATAAGTTCATGTTATTTTAAGAAAAACAAAAATAAATGTGACCGCATATGTGCATATGTATGTATGTATTTACTCATTAAGCTGATAGTGTGTATACTAACCAGCGAAAAAAATATAAAACCGCAAAAGTTACAGCTGTTAGACGTTCTATTAGTTAGAACTGAAATTAGTAATATTATTTGTAGTAACTATTTATATACGTGTCTATGTTTCTACATACATATGTACACAACGCTAGTAGTAAAATGATCATACAAACAAATGATAAAAGAAAATTTCACGAAAAGTGTTATCGCTTTGAAGAAAAATACTCATACGAATACTAGTATTTACTGTAAAATAAACACGTGTTTATTTTTTTAGGAATTTCGTTTTCATTATTGTCTTAAGTTAAATACATTAAATATGCTAATTACATTTTTTATTTGTTTAGTGAATGACAAAATTTACGACCTTTGTGACGCTTCATTTGCATTACACAAACTTTGGGGATAGTTTTTTAATTTTTTTTTTTTATTATTTTGAGACTATGAGCACACTTGTTAATTAGATGCTAAATTCCTAAATTCGTATACGTTTATATATAAATACTATGTAGATATGCTTTTAACTTTTTACATTTAAATCTAAGCGTGTTCATATGTATTAACTGCCGGCAAACAGGTGTATCCACGGTCAGCTGCTGTGAACGAACAAATGTTGTTAATTTTGGTGATCGATCACCATATTTCAGAGCATTTAAATGAACTACTGCATTTAGTTCATTCTCGTTCACGAAACGGAACGATTTTTCGGAACACAATTATGTATACGCACAGTGGGAGAAATCACGAAAAACTTGTCCATATTATGGGTTGCCTGGTTGCCTGGTTATCAGTTTATCTGGTTAAAAATTATTATTCTGTAGTCTATGTTATTGTTGTAAACTGAATAATAATATAACCACATAACCAGATAACCTGATAACCGGGCAAGTGTGAACAACCCAATAGAAAAAATTAACCTAAATTTAGAACACAAGCTTCTTTAGTTAATTTTAAGGTGATGTTTATATAAACAAAATCCGCCCACAAATGCGCCAATTTCCATATAACGGTATTTTTAAAAACTCCAAGTGTTATATTTGGAAAGCTCTAGCAAAGAAAGAAAACGTGATGAAACCTTCCACTTAGGCTTAAATTAAAGCTAGAACTCTCGAATACTGTTCCTGAAAATATCATCCCTGCATCTTGACCCAAAGGTCAGAAAAAACTGACTAACATTTTTTTCAAAAAAAAAAAAATACTTAAACGCACAGTCAGAAGATTCAAGTATAACTTAAAACAAATCCTTCCAATTTCCGAGCATTAATGGAACAAATTCGGTTTAAATTATGCACTTTTTTGTAAAATGCGTGGGGGTTTAGATGCCCCCTCCGCCCACACCGAAAACAGTGGGCAAATATGACTAAATATTTCCGATTTGTGTTATAGAATCAGGGCTGAAAAAATAG